ATTGATGTGATTAATTAGTTGGCACTGACAACTGAAAACAGTGCTTATTATGGTGTGATTTAACATTAGCTAGAAGTGAAGATGAGGAAATCATCTTGTTCTATTACGGAATAAAGTAGGTATTATATATTAGCCTTTTTTCCCAAACACAGTCAATTGAGCTACTTCTGCAAAACCACTATTTTTTAAAAGCTCAGCATTTGGCATTGAAAAAAACCAGAGAGTAGTTACCTGAACCTTGACCAATAACATAGATGGTCTCTCCACATCCTTCATCCATCCTCTCCCACATCTGTCGGAGTAAACTATCATACTGTTCGGATGTTGGGCTCACCATTACTAGCTAAATAGAGAGAGTGGGCATTTACTTCTTATAAACTATGTGAAAAACAAGTTATTTCTCTTAAGATAGATATTGTTTTAATCAATGACAAGTCAATGAACAAACACATTGAACAATACAGCTAAAACAAAATTCAAGCAATATATCACAAGTTTCTGTTAAACTGTTCCCAAGTCCCTTCGATGAATGCCCCTTAAAATAAATATTTGTTTGAATTGTATTGTTTTCAGAAAAAAACATGATAAAGAAAAACAATGATAGAACAAAAATACCCAGCTATACTACTTAATTAGGAAACAATATTAAAATGATTTTTAATATCTGAAATTGATTTCATTTTCAAATACTGTATTTACACTATGAGAAATAAAGTTTAAGTCTGCTGCTTCTGACACGGTATAAAATATCCAGAATTTTATCGTGTTTGACAGGATACATAACTATTCCAATACTTTAAGAACAGCTTCTATTTACCTAGATCTGCAAAGTTCAGTACAGCATAGCAACAGAGGCCTGATCTGTCAGTATCTTATCAGATTACACAAATAGTGAAAATTGCTCAGATCCCTTTCCAGTCCATCACATAACCATGCCCAGCAGGTTAACAAACACTGAGGTGCTACCACCAGTTCTTTGATCAGAAAAATGCAATATTAAAATAAATGGTATCCAAATGTCTATACACATAACTTTATACCCCAACTTTAAAACAACAATCAGTGGACATATAAGAAAAAAATTAATCAAGGTTACAATTCTAAAAATGTTTGCAGAAGAGTTAAGCCCCACTTTTTCCTTATTTATGGGAAAGCTCATTCAGGAGTATAGGATACATGTATTAACTTCCTGAATCCAGGCACGTGCCAATGGTGAATGCCACGTACTCCGACTCAGATCCCGCGAAGCACCCTGGATTTACACTCTCACGAGTATTTTCTTTCAGACACAATCGTGTCGTTATCCGCGACAAAGGCAGAAGAAACCAACCTTTTACCATCTCCTAGCAAATTCACTTACAGTAACATTAGTGAAACGACCCCGAGTGAAGTTCCCCAAAGACTATCAGAACAAGGACAGACCTGGTATGGGTGGTAAGAAAGGGAACCGCGCTCAAATGAAGGACTGAGGCGGCGAAAGGAGCGCGACCCGGAGTAGTCACAGCCGACCTCCGGCCGTCTCAGCTCTTGTCCCCAGCCCCGCCAGGCCTACCTTGCTGGTAAGATCGAGCTCCGGCTCTCCATTGAGCAGCTCTCCGTCCTCGCTGCAGTCAGCTTCTGGGACGCCGCCGTGGGGCCTGGAGAAAGCCGCCGCTGTCCCACCGTGCGCCACGGGCTCTGGGGCGAACATCGAGGCCGGCACTGGCGAGCCCCCCACCGGAGAGCGACTCCTTTCCGTCGCCATCTTGGCAGTGCCAGCCTCCTTCCCCGGCCTCATTAGTATAAACCCCGCCCACTCGCGCGAAAATTGCTTTCAAGGAGCCAGCAGGGCTTCGCTTTAGAATCCGCCCAAACAGGTGGTTCAGCCAATGAGCCCTTGGCCCACCAATCAGGGAGCGGAGCCGTTTAAAATACCTTTACTGTATTGCTATGACGACCGCGTTAGACTCGATTAATATGGATGAGCCATGCCTCTTTCGAATATTTTCTTTCCGCTTCTTTCCAGGCTGGAAGGAGAAAGGAGGCGGGCGGTTAGTTTCGTTTATGAATGTCGCCTAGAAACTCGAGAAAGGCTCCTGCTCAGCCTGTCCCCCTTTGGCGGCTGGGACAAACATAGAGGCTGCTTCCTAATCCTGTTTTAAAGGATTTAATTTCAAGAAACGCTGGGAGAGACCGAGGCTCCACCAACCATTGGCCGCAGCTTATAGACCGAGCCAGTTAGAGGAGAAAAGCGTCGACAAGAAAGCGACCTATCTAAGCGAAAGCCAGTATGCTTGGAAACCCTTCTAATCCTATGCTTAAATGGGATTTCACCTCCTCTATTTACCAATTGTTTGGTCCGGGATAGTGCCTGTCCAAAACTGGAGATAGAGGCTCCCTGACCAGAGATATTCTTATCCTACCAGCAGCAACAGAGGTTTCTCGTGACTTTTTAACCCTGGCAGGGAAAGAATCTCTATTGCACAGTACAAATCTTCGTTGATTTGGTCGAGATGCCGTTGGGACATATCTGAATCTGAAAGTGAAATGTTTATTTATAGAAGTAAGTAATCCTATAATCTCAAAATCTCTTGTTAGCAAAAGCCCATGGCAAATGTTCTTGTGCAAATGCAGCCCTAGAAACTATGTTCCATAGGGAAACGTGTTGTTTGTAATCAGCTCCAATCTGATATGTTTCTGTAATGAAGAAGGGGTCGATGACTCCCCCCCCCCCAATATACAAGAACAGATGTTTCTTAGTAATGGGAAGACTGCTGCAACGGATTTTTCACCACACCAGTTCTCAGAAAACAAAAACAGGAAACATCTAATTTAGTAGTTATATCAAAACTTGTTTCATTGTTTAGGTTTACCATTTTTTTTTTCCTGCCAAGATAATTGAATTTTTAAACAGCTATTGAAAAGGGAAGGTTGTGGGATCTTCATCTCTGGAAATTTTTAAGAGGATGAATAGCTGCTTGTTGAGGAGAGCTAATAAACTTCGCTGTGGTTAGGAATATAAAAAATTGTGTAATCCTTTTTCATGTTCCTTTTATTACTAAAGCAAAATATGTAGAAAAATGTAAGACATATCAATATTTGCCCTCAACTACAGTCAGCATTTTTGTTTCCAGTTCCCATTTTTTGAAATCAACACTTTCCTATGGAAGAAAGTACAGTACATCCACACAATATTTTCTGAAGCAAAATACACTGCCATATTTATGAAATGTATTATATATGGGTGGATGATGCAAAAAACAAACTTTTAGTCAAGATGAGTCTGAAATTACTTTGAAGTTCCCTGTTTCTTAACAGAAAATGAGCAGTAAGATCTGATAAGAAGGGCATGAGATATAGGATCTTTTCAGCGGTTCGATAAACATTGACTACCTTTATTCCCAAAGTAATTTTGAATGTTTATAGAAATCTTTATTCTAATGTCAGATAGCAAGGTCCCATCATAATTCTGATAACACTAGTCCTTTCTCCACTAGCAATTTTACAGTAGCACCATCAACCTCTTGGTTCCTCCTTGGTCAGAAAAGGCTAGTCTCATTTTATTACAACTTATTAAACAACATTCAATAATTATTTTGTATACCGACATACAAGTGATTTTTCCCTTAAAAACCTGATTTTTCCCTGTCACACCTTGGGGGCTCCATTATTTTATTCCTGAAAAGAAGGGGTAAATTTTGCAGTTGTATATTTGTTCAGTTCCCAAATAGCATTAGGTGAGGTGCCACATCCCCGCTTTTTGTTATTTGTTTGATAATTACATCCCATATTTTTCTTTAGGTTCTCAAAATGGTATATATCGCCCTCTCCCCTTGCTGCACAACAACATTGTGAGGTTGCTCAGGCTGAGAGGAAAACTCACTCAAAATTACACAATATGGCTGTGGGTGCTCTTGAACCTGGTTCTCCCCATGACAGTCCAACTTCTTAATCATTATACTATATTTGCTCTGTTTGTTATAGAATGGATTATAGAACACTGAAATGAGGGATAATAAGCCTTGGCAATTTGCAATTATTTATGTATATTTGTCAGTTTCAGCCAGTCCCTCACCTACCCACTCAATTACTAAGAATCAACGTGCTTTCTGGCTATTTGTTTCAGTCATCCAGATCTATAGATTTCTCCTTGCAGTTATCTAATTATGTCTGTCCAAATATGAATCTGGCACTATTCCGTTAATTAAAATAGAGATACCTACACCTTTAGAATTTGGACTCACTTGCTTACTGTCAAGTGATTTTTTATCTTGTAAGAGGTTCAAATGGTGCATTGGATGGGCAAGCAAAGTGATCTAGAGGCCAGTTGCTGCAGAACTGTGCAGTTGCCACACCCAATAGTTTCCCAGTGTAGTTCTCCCATTGTGGATGAGTGATGATACTTTGAAGGGGAAAGACACAAACCCAGAGAAAACCCATCCTGCCTCTATAACAAGGCACTCACAAATCTGGGCAATGCAGTTGGGCAGGAAATTGCAAAAGGCAATAAAGAGATAGCATAGAAAATGTAGCAGCCACCCATTCTTATAAGGGTAATATTTTGTAGTGACAAGAGGAAGGTGTATGATGCTTTAAATGACTAGCTACACACATGAGGATGTGGCTCACTAAAGATAATAGAACTCCAGTACATGAGAAGACAAGCAAATGAAAAACATAGAATGGTTTGTTCGTGCAGAATTTTCTATGAAGGTCAGGAAGGACTAATTCCCATTTTATCTTCAGACCAGCCACTGAAACAAGTCCATAAAGGAATATTATAACCAAAACGGAACTCCTGATACAGCAGACTCTCTCCAGAGTCTACATGTAATGCATGTAGCCTGCGATAGGCAGAACTCCACTTTCCAGAGACCCCCGGCCAGCGACGAACAGAGGAGCCCCCTCCAGCTGGGGGAGGTTTGAAAGCGGACGGTCTCTGACATCAGGAGCGCTTACGCTCGCGACGTCAGGCTGCGGTGGGGCCGAGCGAGCGTTGGCGCGACGGGCCGGGACTCCGTGCAGGGCTGCGCATGCGCCGTCGGGGTAGGTGGCTGTTGGTCCAAGAAGGCTGGGGCTGCTGGAAGGTGAGGTGAGCCTCGGGACGATCGGACTTCAAAGGGAGGCGTTGTGCTTCCCCTTCCCCTCCGGCGGGGAGCCTGGTTCTTGGGTTAGGAAAAAGGCGGGGAAGTCTCTGGGGCCGTTTGGGTAAGGGAGTCCTCTCCCCAGCGTCCCCCTAGCCGGTCGCCGTCCTCGCGGGTAGTGTGGGGTGGGGGTCTCGACTCGGTCCGAGGGTGCAGGTATTCTAGCCCCGCCGCCGCCGCCGCCCTTATCTTCCCCCTCGGAGGAGGGACTTTCCGGAGCTTTGGTTTGCCCACCCTGAGAAAGTGAGGGGCGCTTTGAAGGGCCTGCTGGCTGTGCTGCTGCGGTTTGGAGACGATAAGCCAAAATTGCTGAGATTTGTAAACACGGAGTCCCCTCCGCGGCCACGCAACGCTTGATCCACACGTCGGCTCTGGGGGCTTTTTCCGCTGACGGCGCGTGACAGCTTGTCGTGTAGTAAAGGATCCGAAAGGGTTGGAGGTTTGAGAGCTTTCCCCGAGGGGTGGATCTTGGCTGGAAAAGCGCAGGCCTTGAATCTTCGTTGTGTTAGTTCGGGAGTATTTCTGGCTTGGGAAGCCTATTGGGAGCTGTTTTAAAACTGATGGTCCTTGCCCGCTACAGTAATGAACAAGATCCTATGCTTAATTGAATATTTTCTTTCTCCTTCAGGAATACGAGGACAGCCGAGGAATCTTTGCTTCTCGAAGGTGGAGCGGTTGCTTTTTATTTTCCTCCTCTATCTTGGGAAAAGTAGCTTCTTCCCTGTCTTTTGATTGCTGTGTTTTGGAGGCCATTTAACTCTTTCCGGAATGCAAAGATGCACTTGATGCTTTCCTTGGGAGCCTGGTGTTGTTTATGAACAGGAATAAAAGAGACACTCTTTATTGGGGAGAGAGGTGGGACGTGGATCTTGGCTTTACAGTCATCAGTGACCAAAAGAAATGGAGGAGAAGGAGCGATGTGATCAATTCAATCTGACACTCCTATGCTAAATACTCTCAAACAATTTTTCAAGGGGAAAAAAAATCAGAAGAGAAGAGAACAATATACTAAAAGTAATTTCTTCAAGTTAAGGAAGCAGGCAGGTGAATGGAAGAAGAATGGTTCAAATTTTGAAGTTGCTTTTGCAGCTATCAAATAAAGACAATTGAAATCCAACTGCAAGTCTACTATTTGTGCTGAAGTTGTCTATAAAGAAAAGGTTAGTTCGCTCTTTGTTTCTTTTGAAAAAGAACCTTCAAAAACATTATCTCCAATCTTCACATCAACGCCACTTTTTGAAAAATGAGTTGCGTGCCATGGAAAGGTGACAAAACAAAATCGGAATCACCAGAAACGCCACAAGTGATGCCAGTGCACATTTATCATGAAAAACAACGCAGAGAGTTATGTGCACTCCATGCTCTCAATAATGTCTTCCAGGACAGCAATGCCTTTACACGAGACACATTACAGGACATTTTCCAGAGGTAGGAAAAATGGTTTTATTATATTATTGTGGAGAGTTTGTTTACATTTCTTTGGTAGACTAGACTAGATCTTACAGTGATTTTCTGATGTTTTATTATTAAACTCTTCTATCATTCAGTTCACTTTGATCTTCATAAATTAGTCTACCTGCCTGTCTTAACTTCAGACAAGGAAGTAAAATCCACAGGATTATATTATACATTTCTAATGTAAAGAATGTAATGACTGAATCAATAATTAGGTATAATTCTCTGTTAAGGGGAACTGATACCAGTTCAGGATATAAAATTTAACTCTAGCTGTTGAGCATTTGGTTGCCCATAATCCATTAAGTTCTGCTGGCAAACTTAATCAGCAGATCTGTAAGTGTTCCTATCCTTTCCTGTTCCCTTTTGACTGCAAAAGTTCCTGTCAAGTGCCTAAGACATCTATCTTCCTGATTTATAGATGAAAAAAAGCTATGAAAAAGGCAACTTTTAGTTTAATCTCTATATGCTATTAAAACTTTCTTTATGACCTTTAGCTGGGTGAAACAGTGCATCATAGAGCAATAGTTTTTAAACCAAGCTACCTAAAATGGGCTAATTTATAGTATATATCCAGAGTCCATGATCCATGACCCCCAAGGAATGAAATTTGGGGAAGTTGTAGTTGCCTCAGCACTATTGGCTGCTGATGCACTGCTGAGCTACTGCTACAGTCACATGATCTTCATTTTCAATGTTCTGTGACAGTCTCCCAGCCAGTCTCACAATCCCCTGCTCCTTCCCCCACCCAGCAGCAGCCACTTATCTACCTACTATAAAGGGAAGGGAAGAGAGAAGAGAAAGGAAGAACTCTGATGCACAAGAAAAGTTAATGGGGAAGCCATCAGGAAGTCAGAAGTCAGTCCTGCTCCCACTGCTTTTTTGCCCACCCTTGTTCATCCTGTTTCTCTGTTTAGGTAAGAAAGTATCTCTGAAACAATGACCCAGTGGGACGCAAATTGTCTAGTTTCCTTTTTTCTGTTATATATTTATAAGGTTGGCTTTAACTTCTAGCTTTTTTCTATACAGTAGCTATGACACTGCCACAATTCATCTCTAAAAGGAGCTGGTGAGATGGCTATTTTTATATAAGTAACCTAGAAATCATCTTGATGCATGTTAAAATATAGCACCGTTGAAGTCATTTTGGATAGAGAAGTTTTTGAGATTCTAGTCCAATCCCTTATCTTCCTTAAATAATTGGAAAGATAGAGGGACCATCTGCTATCGCCCAAATGCCATTCCTGTCTCTAGGATAAATTGGCACTTCCTATAGGATCCACTGAAATGCTTACATGTTAAAGCATCTGATTTGCATGCAGAACAGTCCAGGTTCTTACAATTACTAAGTAATGCTAAGAAGAACTTCTGATATCTACCTGAGCTTTCGCCAGTCAATAATGAACTAGATGAACCATTGGTTGGATAAGTCTAGTCTCCACATGTTTTACATTTGATGTCAAACTCTAAAGCAATAATGGATAATTTCTGTTGAAAATTGTAATTGCAGATTGGCTTGAGTTGAAAAGCTGTGCTCCCCGCTATTTACAAACTTCATTTTTCAAACACTGCTTTATGACTAGATTTCTTTGTACATCTATAAGAAGTAATGTAAATGCATAAAACCGTACTTTATATTTTGAAATATGGTAATTTCCAATAGTTGTTAAAATGAAAACTATAATGCAATTTCATTCAGTAGCTGCTTGCAGTGTTTATACAATGAGAATTTTACCTTATCTGGGCTTTACAAGACTCATTAAGAAGCAATGCATTACAAGTTAATTCTTGTGACTTAGTGAATTTTGAATGATAAACTTTGTGAAGTTTATCACTGGTGTAAGTGGGATGGGCTTATCCCATCAGGGAGAGAGAGCTCCTCAGAAACCCTAGACCAGGGGTGTCAAACTCAAGGCCTGCAGCCGCATCCATACTTAGATCTGACCCATGGGACCACCCTGGAAACAGAGAAGGACCAGCCTGCAGTGCCTTTGCCACAGAAAAAGGAGCTCAGGGAGGCCGCACATGGTGCACAACATGAAGTTGAGCAAAGGCCATCCTAGCCATGACTGCCACCTACACTTTGAGCAGGAGTTGTGAGTCCAGGAGGATGCCCAAGGTACACACCAGATCTGTCTGGGGAATGCAAACCCATCCATAGTTAATTACGTTAAACAATTTTATGATTTCGTTGACTTTTAGATCATGCCCTCAAAGCTTAGGATTTTCTTTTTTTCCTAAAATATTTTTTAAAGTGTTGTATATTAAAGTCTTTGTTACAATCATATTTATTTAATGTTAAGTTTATATTCTTGTTTTAAGATAATTTGCAAACTCGTATTGCTGGTTCTGTAAGGTTTTATGTGTGCTAGCAATATTTTTTCAAGAAATAGTTGAAAATAGGAAAATTACAGACTTATTAATTCATATGTGGCAAGAATTTGGAGAGAACAATGCAGAGGTTTGGGCTGCAAGTGCATACATAACGTGTACTGGTAATTTTTAATAGGAATCTATATTCAACCTAGCTACCAAAGTACCTCTTTCATATGATTTGGGATAGCAAACTTTTTTTTCAAGCACTGATACTCTGCAAAGTAATGTCTGGAACGGTTTTCCCTAGTTTTATCTTTACAGGAAATACTTTGTGTAACTTGGTCTCTATGTGTGTAACTGGTTTAAAGTAATCTAGTGAATTCCTTGGTCAAATGGGAACTTGAACTGATTCTCCATGTAATGGCATGTGAGAGAGATCTACTTTCTAACTAGCTAGTCATTCCTCCATTATCAGCAAAGAAAACTCTTCACATATGAGTCATTAGGATATGGAGAAAGTCCCTGCCTTAGGAAATAGATTCTAAAAGAGGAAAGCAAACCAGTTGTTGAAATTTTTGTAACCTTATTCTGCCTTCTTTCAATAAATCTTTGTTAAAAATTTTATTGGAGGAAGCATACTTTCTGTGAGATGAAGGCAGTCAGGAACTTGACCAGTCAATACCTTAAAATTATCATAGTACATTCTCTCTCAGTTTATTTGTATTATTTATTTGATGACTAGGCTATCTCCCAACACCATGGTGACACCACACAAGAAAAGTATGCTGGGGAATGGAAACTATGATGTGAATGTTATCATGGCAGCTCTTCAGACCAAAGGTTATGAAGCAGTTTGGTGGGATAAGCGCAGGTAAAGTAATCCAGAGTATATATTTATTGCCATTAGAGATGGCTGATTTGAAAGGATGTAAGAATTTACTTTTCCTTCCTCTTTCCTTGTTCAGGGATGTTAATGTGATTGCCCTTTCCAATGTCATGGGTTTCATAATGAATCTGCCCTCAAGCCTCTGCTGGGGTCCACTGAAACTTCCTCTTAAACGGCAACATTGGATCTGTGTCCGGGAAGTGGGAGGAACCTACTATAACCTTGACTCCAAACTAAAGGTTCCTGAATGGATTGGTGGTGAAAGTGAGCTCAGGTAGGTTGTCTTTGTTAATCTGAGACCTGAAGTGCTATCATCGAATTTATTCATCTGAATAACATTGTTTGGCTTTAGGCAATGAAATCTCCCTTCCCTCTCCCCACTAACCCCTCCAAATTAATCAAATGTTCCAACAAAGATAAGCGAAATTGTCTCACTTTGGATTCTGTTCTTGTATCTTTACATATCACAATAATAAATAGTCACATTTTTATGTAACTATTTCCACTGCTTATGACAGATAAGTTTTGAACTTATATATTGTTTTTGGAAATAGTATCAGTTGCCAAATTCAGTGGATTACATTTGAATTAAACAAAATTTGTACAGCTCACTAAACTATCTAATGCTAAGAGCAGCAGTTAGATTTTAGCCAAGTTAGCACACAGAGAGGTACTAGTTGCTTTGAGCTTCAGCAAATCCAAACCACAGGTTTGCTATTTTTCATGTGTTTAAAATAGTTTTGTTTTCAGGAACATGGAAGGAAACATTTATTTCAAGTAGCAGCTGCTGAATCCAATCTTTGTTCAACTGCACTGCATGAAGAGCATGTACTGTTTTCATGCATTAATTAGACTTTTTTGATTATTATAAATCAATAAAGAAATAGACTTTTTTGATTATTAGTTTGTGGCTTCTTCCAATAGCATATGCAATGTGTATTTTTACAGTGACATAAAGCTAAACAGAGCAACATAGCTTTATGCTTGGTTAATCATAGACTCAACAGTATAAGCAAGCTGTTTTTGAGGTAAAATGCACTGTTGTATTTGACAATTTGCCTAAAAAAGCACAATACTATATATCTTTACTATATGGTAAATTTCACTATAGAAATTTAAGAACAGCAAACTTGCCCATTGGCAACAGTCTTATATTTAAAATGGTTCTCAATCTCTGAATATATAATTTAGTGATCTCTTCCATTACCACTTTATTCCATTAACTAGCTCCAGTAAAAACAGCAGAGATGCTATCTATGCCTCATTTCATTGATTACTACACTTTGTCCAAGTCTCTATAGCTGGAGAATGTAATAAAAGAACAAAAGATAGGAGAGTGGAACTTTTCAGAATAGTTTGCATATTCAAATCAAATCAAACCTTTTTTGTCAATGTACAACATGTGTACAATGAAATTGAAATGAGCCTCCCTTGGTGCAGCCCCCCCCAAACATAAAATACCTCTCAATAAATGAAAGAAATAGAATCCCTAAACCCAAATAATAACTTAAAACACATTCCCATATATCTATATGTATGTAACATATATTACACGGGATGAACGTTGCACTGGCCCTGCAAGTCTATCATATTAAACCTAATTGTGATGTTATGTTGTGTTCAGAAGTTTGACAGCCCATGGATAAAAGCTATTTTTCAGCCTATTCGTTCAGCTGGCCATGCTTCTATATTTCCTGCCTGATGGTTGGAAAGTAAAGAAGTGCTGACCAGGGTGTGAATCATCCTTGAGGATTTTCCTAACACTCCGCTGTTTACAAAAATTCCAAAATATACTCAAACATTATTTGTGCCTTTTGTGCCTTCTTTTTATTTCCACAGGAAGTTTTTAAGAAACCAGCTTCAAGGAAAGAACTGTGAACTTCTGCTCGTAGTACCTGAGGAGGTAGAAGTACATCAAAGTTGGAAAGTTGATGCATGACCTGCAAAATATCTTATCTTTGCACTACAGTACTGGTCCTTCTCCCTTCCAACTTCTAATGTCCTGTGATGTGGATAATGAGCACTATATTCTCCCCAGGAACTTTCCATTATGAAGGTGCAATAAGGCAGTCACAAGGTACTGTCAGGGCCAAACCAGATTATTGAAGACGGACTTAGACAAAGAAGTAGAAGCCAGTTTTGCGTTCTTTCATTATAATGCATAATGAATTAGAAATGGGGTATTGGAATCCTCTCCATTAAATTCTGATTCATTTTCTTACCCACCACCCTAAAATACTTTATATTGAATTGTACACTACTGTCTCTAGGAGTCTCTATAGTTGGATGGTTTGTCGCTCCTTCAGGAGAGGTTTGAGGCTAGGCATGTTCCCTTCATATCTATGACTCCCTTCTCTACCAAACTTAAGTTGAAGAAACTTGCAAACGGTATGGGTCTCTCAGGAAATTTTAGATACTCTTAGCAATGGTATGGTGCTTGTGGATTCCCTATTTAAATAACAATTGTGCCAACAGTTAGGGGACATTGACATAACGGGACCATAATTCAGGAACTCCTATTGGAGTTTGGGGCTTTTCTTTGTCATACTTGACTTTTTTTTTTATTTGAGAATGAAAGAGTAAATAATTTGGGGAGATAATTGATGCTTAATTTTCAAAAACCTCAAATATTTTTGGTTAGGTGGGTCAGGTATAGCCTTTTTATTTATCTTGTTTGTCCTGTAATTCAGGGAAATAATTCACTGAGCAGGGAATATATCAACAGACTTCTTAAGGATAAAATCATGACATAAAAGGAAATTATAGCCAAGTTTTTGTAAGGTAGAACATTGTTGAAAGGGCAAATGTTAATTCTGCAACCTATTGTCAGGAACAAATCCAAGGATTAGAGTTTTGTTCTTATTTCAGCTGATAATAGCTGAGATTAAAAAGTTTCCAGGGAAGTTTGATGCGGGTAGATGAAGACTATTTAAAGCAGGTAAGCTGAGTTACATTCTTCCATTCCACCTGGCAGGAAATCATAATCTCTCTTTCCCTCTAAATAAAAGAGCTGAAGACTGGCAGGAACCTTATTAGTTTCCCCTTTCACTTCATCCAAGTGTGCCTCATTTATTGTCATGGTTTACCCTGTTGCATTTAAGTGTCATTTACATTAGAACTGATATATCAAGAATGGGACCCATGTTTCCAGCATCATCCTGGTAAAGGAGGGGCAAAAGTAACTCTTGTAATTGTAAAGAATGCCTTTTACTTTCTATTTTGAGTAAAAGCAAGATAGACACCTTTCAATTTTGTACTTGAACTGTCCTTTCAATCAAATACTTTGAGGATGACAATGAAATCAAGACAAATCTTGTTTATTGATGCCTGGATAATTTGTAGCCATATTCTGGGAAACTGAATTGTCTCTTCTCTGCATGTAACAGTTCAAACATAATACTTCTAGTTTAATAGAAGCTCTCTTTTCTTCTGGACTATACATTCCATTGGTAAAACCAGCTGATATTTTTACACATATATTTTTCATAAGCAGAACATTAGGCCTGAAGTTCTGCTTCTGACTTGAAGCCATTTTTTTCATGAATTTTAAAAATATCAGCAGTAAAGACTATTCTTTATGCTGACTAAAACAGCACTTTGGAGAGACCGTTTGCATGGAAGCCAATGGACCAGTGCATTATATACAAATATCTTTTAAAAAGTAAAGCTATTTCTTTCCTCTCAGTATATTGATGTCATTGTTCTGGCCATAGGGAAAGTGGTGTGATTCAGCGGCTCAGGAAAAGGGAACATGTAATCATACACACTTCAGAACCAGAATTATGACACAAGAGGAGAATAATCAGCCCAGTCCAATTGCTTGGGAATAGAAAAGCCCATGATTGTTTTCTTGCTTGTTTGGTTTTGTTATAGCTTTGTCTTGGGTTTGTTTACAGAGATGTATTTTGTTTAACCAAATATTAAAAATAAGAAAACTTTTCCCAATATCCTGATATTTGTGTGGAAATTGTGCTGCTCTGTTTGTAAAAGTGGAAAAATTGTACATCTCATAAATCAACTATAACTTTCCTCATTGGTCTTTAAGATATTCTACCTAAAGAAAAGTTCAGAAGCATATATTATTTTATAACACAAACTGGCTTAATAAAGTTATTGCCTTATTAAGGATTGAAGATTTTATCCCCCACCCCCCATGGCCAGTTCAACTATCTTATTTTTTTTTTAAGGTATTGATTCAGATTTGAAGACTTAAAACTCTGCTAGAAGCCTTTTAATACCCAGCTTGAAAATGTGGCTCAACAGAGAAAACAATTGCCCATGTGGTCAACTTTTTATCATAACATGCAATTAAGCAGTAAGCTGAAACAATAAAGAAAACATTCCATGATTACACTCAAACAATTTAATACAAAAGGGCTGTAGTGGATTTCAGTATCAATAGAGATGCAACAAAATTGGTGAAAATGACTTATCTAAGGTTCCCTCAGCATCGAAACATTAACTCAAATAGAAGCTCACTCAGTAAAATTTAGTATGCACCGGACTGTTCCATTGTACTTGTAGCATGTATACTTCAGCTTGTGCTGTTTCTAGTCTAAAATTCATCTTCAGTATTTCAGGAGAGAAACAGGACTTTATATAGACAAACATCGCTAATTAAATTTGGCCAGAATCTGGCATGTCCTGAGACGGTTTCCTGGAAATAAGGATACCAAAATAAAAGCTTCAAATGTCCTTGTTAATTGGTTTGATTATCAACTGAGGGAAGGAATAAAAAAATCATGATTGCCTAAGGATTAAAGAAGAGGTCAGTGTCATAAAATACATACTGGGGTATGCCTCCATCATAAACAGATGTCCAAGAAAAGAAAAGAAAAAAACCCCCACTCCTGCCTAATAAACAATTGCAGTATTTCCTTCCATAATATGGCTCCAATGATTTGATTAAATCTTGCCAGGAAGAGAAGGCAGAGCACTTGACATTCCTCCAGAAAGCCCTGTATTTGGTCCTAATAAAATCTGTAAGAAATGAGAACATGTCAAAATGATTGAAATGCCAAACTAACATTCAAATTTATGTAACTTATTTGAGAAGAATTTCTATTTCAAATGTCATAAACCCAACAATTATCTTGCATCATTTTTACCCATAAAGAATACAAATATAGCATTTGTTTGTAGTCTGTCATTACAAAAATACAGTTCTTGGTTCATATGATTATCAGATTTACTGTATATGAAGAAACATTTGTAAATGCACTCATGTTTTTGATCCTGCAAAGTGCAAATACCTTAGTGTGCTAAATCTTAATATTCTGGTTAAGTATGAGACCTGGAAAGTTTTATCCTGACAAAAATTCATTTAAATCTTTGGTTTTCTTCAGAAAGTGGCCACTATTGTTCCATTTCCTATTTTATCATATTCATATCATGTTCATATTTTCAATGTTAGTGTATGAATCCAAGTAATTATAATACTTCAGCAAGAGAGGGAAATTAACAATCAGAAATAAGTTTACTCATCCCTGTAAGAAAGCAATGTTTACAAAAATGACATGATGAAACAACTAGTATGTAAAAAAGTATTGTGAGATACTCCAAGGAGTTGTTTTTCTGAAAGCACTTACAGTAGAATATTACAGCAGTCATACCAATCACGATAAAATGTGCTCCTTTCAGCTGAGAATTATACCAGTAGTATAAAGGCTAAAAGATACCCATCACATCCAGCAATAACTTTTTTCACTCTGATAAAAGTGTGAACATGCACATTTATTAATGTGAATTACTACACAGACTAATGAGGCTAAATTATTATTACTATTATGGGTGAATATTTTAAAGGGATGGTGAATACATACATATATACACATATGCATACAGTGTATATGTGTATTTTGTTTAAGTCACTTTTTACTTGTATCAATTACATGGAAAAGACCATTTCATTTTCTTGGCAATTGTTTCAAAAAATGGTGATGAGCTAAAAGGCTGCAGTCTAATTTTTTTGGGTGTCCTAGCACTGCCAGCAGCTGTTATGACACTAGAACACTAGACTTCAGTCATTAAGTCGAAGTTCATCACCACTTGATTGATGGCAGCATCAACATATTTTTAGCAACAGTTTGCTATTTCCTTTTTCTTATGGCTGAGAAGAGCAATTGATCCAAGGTCACCTAGCTGCATTCCGTATCAAAGGTAGGATTAGTTTCCTGGCTTCTGGTCCAATGCATTTATTTAACTATTACATTACAACTAACTGTCATGGTAAACAGATATACAAAACTTTCACCAATCTTATGCTTTCCAAATGTGTTGGTCCAGACTTCCAAGACAGTACTGTACATTGGAGAAGTATACAAGCTGCATTACAGATGAAAAATTATATTAAATAAAATGTAGCTTTCCAATGAGTTTCTTTATAAATTCTTGATAGGTTGGAGAATGAAGATATATATACAGTTCATGGACAAAAGGAAGGTTAGATTCATTAAATTAGAGCTACACGAAATAGTATTTACCTGTCGTTGTTGCAACTGCTGCTGCTGCTCCATTTGCAGTTTCTCAGTTTCAAAAACAACAGGAAGAACTAGGATCATGAAAGAAGTGGTCCCAATCCATAAAGCTGCCCTTGAGAATCTTTGGGAAAATGGGAGAAAGCAGAAGTATATTCTGACTTTTGTGGAGATGGAAAGCAGCTACTCTACAGATCTCAGTTGCAGTATGGAAGTGACCCATTTCACATAGATTCATATACAAACTACATATTCATAATAATTTGTAAAACCGTATTTTAAAATTACCAATATGCTATTTAGACCTAGCATAAAGCATAAAGACATACATATTAATTTCACCCAATCTTTGATCTTATATGTAAAACTAACTAAAGAATTTTAAAAATTAAATTCTTACTGTTTATGGAACACGTTGTGACCATAAGATTGGTATTCTTTAATAGGAATGAATAGCACTTAGGATTTGATTTCCAAAAGGTACTTCAAATGCATAGCAGCATGTACATAAAACATGTCTGCAATGTTTTAAAGCAGCTATATATTTTTTATGGGATTGCACAACTGTCTTCCATAGTTGTTCCAGGATCACAGGAAAGGGAGCACCTACTTTAAGGTAAATAGATGCTACATTTATGCTTTGATGCACTTTTTGAAGGTTGAATGCAAAGTGCCATATACTCCTGTTTTTCAAACAGAATATAGCAGCATTTTTTAATTTTAATCTGCAATCTAACCACCAAAGGTTGTAGGCTATCTTTCCTAAAAAGAACCAGGGGATAAAATCCAAGTTTGGTTGAATAAAAAAGCTGTTATAAGTGAGACAGGCTTCTCTAAGAGACAGATACAGGAAATAGCTGTGGTTTAATACGTGCATCTTACAGAAATGTGAATCATAGATTTATATTCTGTCTTTTCTTTACTACTTCAAGGTTCTATGTGTAGAACCTACTTCTCCATTTCCCCTCACACACAACCATCATCCCATGAGTTATCCTGGGCTCCTTTAGTCATACTACTGAGTTTCAGCAAGATCAGAAAAGCTGTAATATATAGCTGCCTTACTACTCAGAAATATTTAAATAGTGTTATTTCATTACCATCAGATAAAAAAAGCATTCTCAAACAAAATTTTGGGGAGGAATATCTAGAAATTGTAACTATAATTTATGATAATGATATTTGGCTTGTTTATTTTTAATATAGCTTTATATAAAATACCTGAATATTTGTGTTTAATTTTAATTATGTGTTAAAAACAAAGACTTTAATATATTTAATAATGAACTTTTATTGATTAGAATATTAATAAATATGCCTATGCTGCAGATAATCACATAATTTACAATTTATGCAGTTCTAAGTCTATCTCTCCACCACAACTTCAGTGACACCAGCATCTCAATCATAATTAACAATAAAGGCTCTCTGGGATCTCGTTTGATACCATCAACAATGTATCTTTATGCATCAGCTTCAAGAGACTCCTTAAGCAGACTCTATCCTTATTTGGTTTGCATTTTAATTGTTATTTGTATCCTTGGTTAATTTTTTTTACAAATAACTCAAGGCAATGAACATATCCAACACACCTTCTGTTTCCTATTTACCCCACAATAACAACTGTGAGCTGGGCTCAGTTGAAAAAGAGTGACTGGCCCAAAATCACTCAGCCGGCTTTCATAAGTAAGATGGGACTTGAACTTATGGTCTGCTGCTTTTTGGGAAGGTATTTTAACCAATAGACAAACTGTGATTACAAGGAATGATCTGCTATGTGTTACATGCTGCAAATTGAAATACAATTTTATTCTTAGCTTCATTTGAACTGCTTAAATAGAACAGATTCCAGCCACATAATGAAGAAACTTCTCTCCAGCCAACTGTAGTCCTGAGGTAGCCCTCAACTTAGGACCACAATTGAACTCAAAACTTAAGTTGCTAAGTGAGAAATCTGTTAAGTGAGTTTTGCCCCATTTTACGACTTCTTGCCACATCGATCAAGCAAATTACTGCAGTTAAATTAGTAATATGATTATTAAATGACTCTGGTTTCCCCATTGACTTTGCTTGTCAGAAGCCCTGCAAAAGATGATTACATGACCCAAGGACACTGCAACCCTCAGAAATGTGAGTCAGTTGTCAAGCATCCAAATACACTGCTCAAAAAAATAAAGGGAACACAAAAATAAGACATCCTAGATCTGAATGAATGAAATATTCTTATTAAATACTTTGTTCATTACATAGTTGAATGTGCTGACAAAACCACACAAAAATTATCAATGGAAATCAAATTTAGCAACCCATGGAGGTCTGGATTTGGAGTTACACTCAAAATTAAAGTGGAAAAAAACACTACAGGCTGATCCAACTTTGATGTCGTCCTTAAAACAAGTCAAAATGAGGGTCAGTAGTGTGTGTGGCCTCCACATGCCTGTATGATCTCCCTACAACGCCTGGGTATGTTTCTGATGAGGTGGCGGATGGTCTGCTGAGGGATTTCCACCCACACCTGGATTAAAGCATCCCCCAACTCCTGGACAGTCTGGTGCAATGTGGCGTTGGTGGGTGGAGCGAGACATGATGTCCCAGATGTGCTCAATTGGATTCAGGTCTGGGGAACGGGCGGGCCAGTCCATGGCATCAATGCCTTTGTCTTGCAGGAACTGCTGACACACTCCAGCCACATGAGGTCTAGCATTATTTTGCATTAGGAGGAACCCAGGGTCAACCGCACCAGCATATGGTCTCACAAGGAGTCTGAGGATCTCATCTTGGTACCTAATGGCAGTCAGGCGAGCACATGGAGGCTGTGCGGCCCCCTAAAGAAATGCCACCCCACACCATTACTGACCCACTGCCAAACCGGTCATGCTGGAGGATGTTGCAGGTAGCAGAACGTTCTCCACAGTGTCTCCAGACCCTGTCATGTCTGTCACATGTGCTCAGTGTGAACCTGCTTTCATCTGTGAAGACCACAGGGTGCCAGTGGCGAAGTTGCCAATCTTGGTGTTCTCTGGCAAATGCCAAATGTCCTGCACGGTGTTGGGCTGTAAGCACATCCCCCACCTGTGGACATCGGGCCCTCATACCACCCTCATGGAGTCTGTTTCTGACCGTTTGAGCAGCCACATGCACATTTGTGGCCCGCTGGAGGTCATTTTGCAGGGCTCTGGCAGTGCTCCTCCTGTCCCTCCTTGCACAAAGGCGGAGGTAGCGGTCCTGATGCTGGGTTGTTGCCCTCCTACGGCCTCCTCCACGTCTCCTGATGTACTGGCCTGTCTCCTGGTTGCGCCTCCATGCTCTGGATACTACGCTGACAGACACAGCAAACCTTCTTGCTACAGCTTGCACTGATGTGCCATCCTGGATGAGCTGCACTACCTGAGCCACTTGTGTGGGTTGTAGACTCCGTCTCATGCTACCACTAGAGTGAAAGCACCGCCAGCATTCAAAAGTGACCAAACCATCAGCCAGAAAGCATAGTGGTCTGTGGTCACCACCTACAGAACCACTCCTTTATTGGGGATGTCTTGCTAACTGCCTATGCTTTCCACTTGTTGTCTATTCCATTTGCACAACAGCATGTGAAATTGATTGTCAATCAAATTGATTGACTTGGCGTTACATTGTGTTGTTTAAGTGTTCCCTTTATTTTTTTGAGCAGTGTTTAAAACAATGTGACCATGAAGATGCTGCAACTGTAGTAAGGGTGAATAATGATCATAAGTCATTTCTTTCAGTACCGTTGTAACTTCAAACCATCATTAAGTGAAGTGTTGTTAGTTGAGTACCTCCTGTGTATGAAACAGGTTCTGTGCCCCTTTTGCAATAATGACATACAAGTGACATAGTAGTATGTTATTAAACCATTAGAAAATCATCTCAGCATCTCTGGATTAATTGAGTAAGTTCCCTATTTTTCCATTTCCTTATCTCACCTGTACATTTTCTGAGCTACAGAAAAGGACACGTCGAAGGTGGCTCCAGCTGCCGATCGAAGGCGCTCTGGAAACATCTCTGTGAGACCCCAAAGTCTCTCCGCCAGGGTCTCATCCAGCTGCAACAAGGTGAGAAAACACGGAAAGTAGGAGTCCACCTAACCCTCCAGCCTGCTCCCATTCCACCCCCACCTGGAGTTGAAGACCTATGGACTCAATTAACGCCTATTCATGCCCCCCTCCAAGGAGACCCTCTTCCAAAGCACCCACCGACCCTCCCCAAAACACGCTCCAACTGACCTCGTGGGGCCCCGGCGGTCTCCGCACGCTCTGCCCCGCCTCCAGGAGAGGTTAAGCCTCGCACGGTTTATGCCAAGGCGCCTTACGCAGCTCCGCGGCAACGACCCGCTTACCTCATCTTCCTCCTCCTCTGTATCCTCTTCCAGCTCATCCGTTTTGCCGGCGCTTCCCTTGGATGGCAGCAGGTCTTCAGGGGACAGCGGCGTCGTAGAGGCGGCCATGACTGCAACTGAATGACGAACGAGGAGGCTCCCGCAGCGGCTAGACCGTTACCGGAAGTCAAGGTCTGGATAGCCCGGCGGCCCTTCTGCAATTGCACAGCGACGCACAGCGCACGGGAAGAACAAGTGAAGGTAGCGAGCGCAAAGGCTTAGCCCAGCGTTTCTCAAGCTGGGTAATTTTAGGAGGCGTGGACTCCTTTTCAAGGTTAAATGAGGTTAAAAAATAGTGGCCTACAGCAAAAATGGATGCATTCTAAGGAAGATATGAGGAAGTGCATATATTGATTTATAAACAGGAACTGCAGTATTAATGTCTCTCCCTTTCCTCAGTGGGACTTGATGCAGTCATTTTTATTTCCAGGGTAATGATAGGTGTTTGGTTTTTTTAATCCAAGTTTTGCGATTTGGCACTGAAATTCAACTTATTTTTTTCTTCCTGGGAGATGGGGACAGAAGAAAGTTACTTATCCGGCTAAAGTCTGACTTTAGCCGTGACCATACCAGAAAATTCAACGGGTTGCAGGCATTTATTATGAAAAAGGCCAAATCCTAAAATACTGCAACTTTATAAAAAGAAATATTCTAAAAATAGGGGGGGGGGGGGAGTTAATGGTTGAATTCATATATGGTAAGTCATAATGAGTGGTTTTGGTTCACTGTATTGTATAAATCCACCTTTTAAGTGATTTATGACCATGTTGCAGAAAGCCAGCTAATCATAATCAGTAAATCATGGTTATTTAAATCATAGCTTAGTTCCATCCCTCCCTCCCAGGCAATGTAGCAATAGCTATGTAGATTCCTGTGTAGATATTTAACTTGAAAATGGCAGCTTTTGCTGTACTTTTATCTGTGCCAAGGATTATATTTAATATATATAAAATTAATGGAAACAATGTTTATTTTAAAATATGAAAGTAGATTTAAAGAGCAATTCAAGAACAATGTTTTTCTTTAAAATGATCTGATTAGACCTGCAAATTGCCCAAAATACCTTAAAAGGGAAAAATGTGCCTCATTGGCCCTACCCCCAGCAACTAAAGGTCAATACATATAATTCCATAAAAATATTGAGAATTCCAGTTTATCTGGAAAATACTTTCAGAAAATAAATTCTTTGTTTAGAAAATTTGTATAGGGTTCTTCAATTCTGAGAATATCTTTATAAAAATGCAATTACCAATTAATGAGGAAGGATTCAATTTTCCAAATCTGGAGCTACATGTTTACCTACTGTCAACCATTAGATACTGGAAGTCAACAATTAAGTGTTAATTTTCCAATTTGGACCATTTTGGAATATATTGGTTGGATGGACAGTGTTAGGATCTAATCTTAACTATTCTAGTACTCTAATATCTCTGGAAACAATTGTGTCAATTAGAAAATTATGGAATATAATATCTAATAAAAAGATTTGATGCTTTTTCCCATGCCAAGTTGACTTTATGGAGAATCCCAACTTTGAGAATTGGGAAATGATGGTGATATAGAAATGGAAATGCTGACATTGGACCACCAGATACATGATGATGAATTATTAGCATTCTAAGTATTAGAGGTAATTCAAAGTTACAACAGCCATGGAACAGGTGCTTTAGGGCCTGTAAAGTACCCCTGGTAATTATAAATGGACAAGTCATCTGTAGTCATGTGACCACATTGGGCAGATCAGCTTTAAAATTGGTCATGGTTTTCAAGGTTATATGACCGTGATTTAAGATATTTTTTGCTGGTTTCTGGCAAAAAATGCCAAAATTAATGGGTTCACCAAATGATGGAGGTATTTGCTTAACGACTGCAATACTCCCTTAAGGACAGCAGTAAGTACTACGGAAAAAGTGGAAAAATTACTTCTGGTTACATGAGTGCCTCAACTTACAATCACAATGATTTACAACCATAATTCTAGGCTCAATTAAGGTCACAAATCAAGGACTCTCAGTAAAAGATAAATATCATTTATCTGATATAACCCAGTGGAAATATTTACAATTATAGTGAACAACATTGTTTGGACCAGCAGCATTTTCAGCTTCTGAAATACCTGAGATAATAGAAACACTTGTTCAATCCTTTAAAATTAAAAACCCTATTAATTTTTTTAGATGTTATCAATAAATCAATCTGATATGCAGATATTAAGAAATGGATGGAATAAAAAATAACAGGTTCCTAAATTGTCTGTATAATGGGAGTGTGTTTAACCCCAATTTATGACTTTTATAACAAACAATATTTAAAATTCACTGGAATCTGTATAGAAAATAACTATTAAAAACAGCATTTTGTTGGAGATGTATTAAGAATAATGCTTCTTTAAAATACATGTTTTTACAATGTCCTATACTTAGGAAATCTGGGCAGAAAGTAGTGGATTACATAAATAGGATTGTGCGACAAAAGCAAAAATTCTGAAGAGAATAATATTCTATTGGTTTACATATTTAGTACATAGAATTTGACAACTGGACAATGTAAATGGATTCTCCATGCCCATACTATGGCCAAAAGACTTGATATTGCATCATTGGAAAGATTAACTCATGGCCCCTTTCACTCAATGGATTGAATACTGATTGCATTGGCTACCTATGACCAGATTCCCTATAGGTAGCCTATAGCTGTTATATACATGGACAAATATAATATGTGACTCATTTATACAGAATACAGTTACTTAAAAAAGTCATGTTACCAGAAATATGTACATCTGAAATAATATTTATATTAGACAAGTATATCATTGCATGACATTTGTTTTTATTTTTTTGTTATAGCATTTTGTGATTTTTTTCATTTTTGAAATAAAAGAATATCACTATCACTGTTTTTGGTTTTTGTTATTTTTATTAATTAAAAAACAAGAAAAATAATTTTAAAAAGAGGTGATTTATTATGAATTAAGGAGCAGAAATAATAAGAATTGGCTATTCAGTGTAAAGTTCAAAGAAATAGGGTTTGGTAAGATATGTAAAAAAAGTTGTTCTTGCACTTTACAGGTAAATTATTGTAGTTATAAGGCAACCTTATTTTTTTGAATTGTAGAATAAATAGGCCATTTTTAGATGAATATGTTATATCATCTAAGTATCTGTGAGCAAGTGACTACTCTATTAAAGCAGATGCCACAACAATTTTGTTAGCTTTTAAGGTTCCTCAAGATGTGTCCTTTTTCTGATGTCATAGATTTTAAATGTGACCTCACTGGTGGCTTTCTATATACTTTCAGGGAAAGTGCAGGGGCATTTGTGATACCTCCTATAATAAAAGAAACTAATGAAAAGATATGGTGTGCTATCTATTTTGTCTGCCATATACCAAGTCATTGTCAGAAACTACAATCCAGAAATATTTTGCACTCCACACATTAGACTCCCAGATACCAAGGAATGCATGGATAGTGAGTCTAAAGTAGATGAAAGAAAGATAATGGCTTATTTTAGACACAACATGAGTCCAGGCATGATAAACCAAAATGTGCACAAGCAGCATGCACTCATGTACATACATTCCATTTGCAGGCAACCAGTTCTGTATAAAGCAAAAAGCAGGCTACATTCCTAGTTCACACTTAACCTGTTAAATGTGAACTTTCAATTAAGACAGGATTTATAATCTAAAGCTGACTTTCAGTCTGCCTTGTTTAGACACAATTTACCATGTTTTCAGTCTTACGAATTATGAGTAAATTCAGCTTTCTAGCTTGTTTTACAATTCACATGACAAAATAAGTGCATGCTGAATGTATATATTCTAACTTAATAAACTGACATTTCATTATTAAGTATCCTGAGATGTATTGCAAGGAATCTTCATATCTTCTCATCTGATCTTTCAGAGTGGTTGCTATCTTCTTGGAAAGATGACATAAATATTATCTATACTTAATCATCTATTAATTATGTATTGAATATGTGTTAAGAGCACTTGGATAGAAGTTTCACAAAGAGAAAAAAGTAGATACTAGCTTCCTCATAGCGCTGGAACTTACTATTTCTTAGTTGGGGCCCTGGCTACAAAGAGTCGAAGACAGCAAAGTCTTCCAAGGCAGATGTGACTTCACAAGTGATGAATCTGATTGGCCTAAATCATATTTGCCTGTTATTTCTTCCCCTTATTTCCTAGTGATTGCTAATTTATAATTCACTTTCTCCTTCGGCTGTAATTTTTCAGTTCTTCTAATTCCTTTCCCATGAGGTGGGATTCAGCAGTTGTCTCAGAGAGCTGAAAGTGCAAGGCATAAATGGGAATGAAAATATATACATACTAATGCTGTAACACATCCAGAAGTATTTTTCTTTTGGTTTTATTCCAAAGCAAAATTATTCCAAAAGTCTAGTTAGATGGTCTGGATTCAATCGTGTGTTTGGGATAAAAGTAATTCTTTACAAATAAATCATCAGCTGCTGGTAATGTATATGGTATTCTGTTCTACATCTTAAAATACATTTTCAGACATTGAATAAAATATCTGAATACTGATGCAGTCGCTTCCTGCTGTTTCTACCAACCAGCAAGAACGGTCATTTTCAAGTTCCATCTGCAAAACGGTGCCATTTTGTGGGACCTAGAACACAGGTGATCACTGTAGCTATGCTTGCCCTGTGAAACAGCATTCCTCAGAAGTCCATATGATCCTGACTCTGCTGTACTTTCATGAATTTTTAAGGCTGGGTTTTCCAATAAGCTTTGTTGCAGTTTGGATCATGATCTGTGCTTTGTTTATTTTTCTTTCAATTGTTACTGTGTCCTGTTTTGTTCTTGGTGTATAGTTGTATATTATTTATTTTTATTGTTTTTAACCCTTATGTTTAAGCTATCTAGAGTTATTTTGTGTTGAGATGGCATACATACTGAACAAGTAAACTATTTGAAATTTATCTGGAAAACCATTTCTCACTCAGAAAAAGCCTGTTACTTGTAGTATAATTTTTAATTTTCTAGATTTAAGTTTGGATAATAAAGTCTACAGTATCTTAGGTTAATGAATGTCAGATTTTATTCACTGGGAAATTCTCCTTATGGGCTGTCCTGTGT